CTGTGCTCAATTATTCATGTATAAATGTAGAGTAATTCCACTGAGGTCAATGAAGTTATTCTGGATTTCCCACATTAACATAATATGAATATGGCCTGCTGTGTAGAAGCTTTTAGGTTACTTGGGCAGAACCCACTGACCTCAAGGGCGGAATTAGGTACTCAAAGCCTACATCTGTGAAGAAAATTGATCCACCAATTTTTTATAGAAAAATAAAGAGCTTGAGACAAATAACATAACTAAACATGCATTTACATGAGGATTCACTTGCTGGTTACTTTAAACAAAAGCCAAAAAAGCCAATATCTGCTTACAAAGATAACTGTCACACAGCAGCTTCCCTTCATTCATTCAGGCATGAGCATAAAACCATTTTAGCAGTAACAAAAACATTCCCAAGTTCTCTGTCTCAAACCATTTGCCTTGAAGCAGGTGATGTCTTTAAAGAGGCACCGAGTGAAGGATTGACTAAAGAGACCTAGGCAAGATCAAGTTTTGATAAACTGCCAGTAACATGAATGTGTTAAGGACCTCTTGACTTTAAGCATTAGTGCCCTCTCTCTCTATGTATATATTAAGGGGGCATATGCACAATTAAAGCACAATGACATACTGTATCTCTACCATGCAGCACCTTGTGGGATCTTTTACAGCAAACTCAGGGACTCGTTGTAACGGCACTTGCATCACGCATATTGCAGTCCATTGAACTAATTCAGCTCCAACTACAATGAAGGAAGCTGAGAGCACTTTGTAAGCTCAGGTCCATGTAGCAGGTCACAGTGTATTTAAGGCACACAAGCGGGATGATCACTCTGTCCTAATGAGAGGAGCGCTGTGGCAAGCTGCAAATGACTCACGAGGAAGTGCTACTACTCAGATTCTCAGCCTTCACTGATGCTATCCAGACTCTATCAAGTTAACACCAGCTGCAGCCACATCAGACTTTTGCAAGGAGCAGGCTTTGGCATTTACTTTACAATAACTTTTTTCTTACCTATCAAAAACCACCGCAGCATAAGCAGGCTCCGCAAATATGACTTCCCCAGACAGGAATTCTTTGACTGCCTTCAAACCCCTGCCTTTGCCTTCTGACGTGAACACTTCCACCGTCTCCATTCCCCCTTTTGTCATGTCAGGGAACCCCAGCTCCTAATGCGAGTGAGCCAACTCTCTTGTCACTCCTGCTATTTCAATACCTTCAGCCTGACCCAGGACCAGTCCTATATATGGACTACGTTGCCTCCTCCCCCCACCCATTTTCCATAGGAGGGTGAAGGGAGGGGAGGGGGAGAAGCCCTTTAGCTTAATGCAGTGCTAAGCACGGAAGCCAAATGGTTGGTCATGCATTACCAGTGCCGTCAGCTTCATTAGGAAAAGCCCATCTGAAAAACTCATTGGCATTGTTTCTGCCAGTTGAAAGCTTTTGTATATGTTATGACCACCAAGTTTAATTTATTCTCTCCCATTGGAAAGAGAATGCATTCACTTTAACGGGGTATTTTTAGAAACCACATGCTTCTGTCTATCAGGAGCCAACAGCTGAGACAGCCGTAAGTGGTGGGTGGGTTGTGCGTCTGGGGTTCTTTCCACTGTCATTTAGGTTCTTCCAGAAATCAAACAATGCTGCTTTATTTTTACCCTCCAGGAGATATGCTGGAGGCAAGGGTGAGGAAGGTCTGTCAAACATGCAGGCTAAAATTACCCCATCTGCTGCTGCAGAAAACAGGCACAAAAGAGAGATGCTTGCCACATGCCAACTGAGTGACTTGGAGAAGTGCAGGGAATGAGCTGGAAGGCGCCTCTTTAGAAGCAGGCATGACATATTAGCTGTCTGTCAGGAGTTCAACAGACTAAACTCATTGAAATGCTAGCAAGCTTGAGGGCTGTTTATCCCCGATGCAACTCTATGGAATTCAAAGGATGGACTGGACCCAAAGCAGGTAAAAAGAGGATAATATCCCCAGTGAGCTAAAGTGATTTATAAAATAGGACATTGTTTCTACCCTTCACCCGCACCCATCAGTGTAAAACCAAAGTAACACCACTGAAGTCACTGGGATCCCTCCAGATTTCTGCTGATGTTAACAGAAAGAAGAGTCTTGCTGTGAAAACTCAAACCAGTCAGCACTGGTATTTGGTATTTCAGTATTATGTATTAATACTTTGTATGTCTAAGGTCCCAGTAATTTTACCACATCTATCACTGGGAATTCAGAGTGCCTTGCGCACATGAATGTATGTAGACTCTCTGTCCCTCTGTGAGAGAAGTAAGGGCTATGTCTGCATAACAGATGAGTAAACTGAGGGATCGAGAGATGAATTGGTTAATACCTGTCAGCCCACCCAAAGTTGCCTGAGTTGGAGGATGAGTGTCATCTACCTTGAGCAGTATGTACTAGGCTGGTGTACACAAATGGATCTAGGATTTTGGTGTGGTGCATCAAAGAACACATATCTTTCTCCAAGTAAAGAGAACCTAGATGCTTTATTAGTATGCTAGGAGGCTAGCACTATAAGATTTAGTTTAAGATCAAAGCAAAAACAAATACAATTATTGGAGTGTGTGCTAATTTGATAGATTATACAAACAGTTTTTTAAAAAAACACAACAAATTAGGCAAAAATAGTTAAAATAAGTCAAAAGATATTGTGCCATTAGTTTTGTAGTCATTCTACTTAAATGTATGTCTCTTAGTCAGATTCATAAAACAAAATCTTGAGCATCTGAGTAGTGCTCCCAGTACTTCACTATCAGCCATGTCTACACTTAAATTAATATTAAGGTCCATTAAAAAAAAGAGAGAGTCATTGACACACCATGGGGTGGAGAGAGAGTAGCAGGAATCAGGGAAATGATAATGGGCCAAGAAGTCAATGGACTCCTTCAGTGCTGCCTGAATAGAAATGCTGCTACTCCACCCAGGCAGTTGGTTTAAAAGTTGGGTGGAGCAGGAATCAAAGTGGGGACAGGAAGAGAGGGAAGAGGAGATAGTGCAACTGCACCACTGCACCCTCCTAGATCTGTCTGTGCTGGGTGTGTGTGTGTGTGTGTGTGTGTACACATGCATACGTGAGTGCCACTGCTATCTTTTGGACAGTTTCCAAACTGCTCTACTCTGCATCTTAGACTTTATATACAGCCAAGAGTTAATGGAGATTCTTCTTTAGTGAAAACAGCTGAAGTAACGATAGGAATCACATAGTAATGTAAATACCTACTCCAAGGTTGTTCTGAGCCTGATAAGCATGAACTAGTTACTTCCAGAAACATAAGCAAATTCAGGCTAATCATAGCACACATGTGATCTGTAATAGTGCTCCGATTGCTATCCAGCCAACCAGACACCTACCTTTATTGCTAAACACTACTGGGCGGGTCTGTGATTTTGAAGCAGAGGATCTGAGTTGTACCGCTGCCATCCAAACATCTGAGCAGTCATGCTGTGCAGAAGAGAGGAAACTGCAGTCCAAGGCTTTGGATTTATTACAGTATCTTTTGTCTCTTGGTGCCCTACCACACCAACTTATGAGTGCGAAGAAGTAGCCCTGCAATGGCAAAAGACAAGAGTCCCTTCCAGTCAAGATGCTGAAGCTGATCACATCTGTCTTGATATTCATGCTCAACTCCTCTGAATGCAAGTGCATCAGTTGAAGAGTGGACACCAGTTAGAAACAGATGAGTCAATAGCAGTTCAGTGCTTCATGTTTTGATTTGATATGAGATACACCTCTATATGAATGATACTTTTAACCTTTTGCCATCAGCATACTCCTCAATTTTGTGTGTGCAATGGGACTCCTACCCCATTACTGAAGGAGAGAGGGAGCTGAGGATCAGCTGGCCAACTCCAGCCTCCTGGACAAACTGATGGTGGCAGAAGGCCCTTGAATAAAATGCCTGCCTGCCTCAGGTGCAGCCAGTGACTGACAAGCCTGGGGTGGAAGTAGTGGCTCAAGTACCCCAGAGAGAGAGATAAAAGCCCAGGACCTGAAGCAAGTTGGGCAGTCTGGCCCCACAGGCTGTAGGAAGCAGAGCTCCAGGGGGGACTAGGGCCTGACCGGACAAGGAGGAAGGACTTCAGGCTGCAGGGATGCTGCAGGAAGCCCCTGCAACACCTGGCAGCCAAAGATAAGTATTTGGGGGCCCGGCATGGTGGTTTTGCCACAGTGTGGTGTTAATCCATGATGGGGAGCCTTTTGTTTGAGAGCAGATGCTCATATCTTTTCATTTGTGTTTAAATACTGGAAGACCAGATTGTGGCTATAGGGGTGGAGGAGGCCACCGAGAATGGTGCCAAGGACACCCCAGGTCCTAGACCCTTCAAAGGGTCTAGTGCTGCTGTTAGTGGAAGGATTGGGGGTGCAAGCCTTAGCCCATGAGGGGAAGACCAGGGGCTGAGGGGCCCAGAGCCCACAAGGGTGAGACCAGGGGCCAAAAGGCCCAGAGCCTACAAGGGTGTGGCTGGAGCTGGGGCCCAGGAGCCTACAGTCCTGAGACAGTGGACCTCAGGTGGAGGGGCCCAGCCAGAGTAAAGTGGACCAAGGCCAGGGGGCCTCAGCCCAAACAAGGGCCTAACACTCACAACTCCCCTACCTTTGGGGCACCCTCCCTGTCCAATCATAACATAAAGGTATGGAAGGCGAGATAACAGGGTGGGACCCTGAGAGGTCAGAGGGGGCAAGCAAAGTTTAGGCAGATACCCAGAGGGGTGATTTTGCTGCCCCAGCACTGGACCTGCTACAGTGTCAAGGCTGTTAATGAAAATATTAAACAAGATTGTTCCAGAGGTTGATCCTTCAAGAAGTTCATTAGTAACTTCCTTGCAGTTTGATACCTTTTCTTTTAACATTACATGTTAAAAAACCAGCTGTGATGAGGGAGCCAGCAAACAGCAACTGCCAACAGGAGAGCAGTTTGCAGGCAGTTGTTGGAGGCAAGAGGAGGGAGGGAGGGAGGAGGAGAGAAGCCAGGCCAGGCACTAGATCCTACCCAGAAAAGGTAAGTGATCCAGCTGCCTGTACCTTTGGTTTAGCTGACTGTCTGTTTGTTTGGCAGGTGTGTGCTCTGAGAAGCTGGAAGTGAGCGCTGAGTGCTGAGTGACTGTTGATTGCTGTGGGATTGCTGACTGTGTGATTGCTGCCTCGGCCTGAGTGAGCCCAGGCCCAGAAGGGTATAAAAGGAGACCCCCCAGGTGACCAGAGAGCCTGTGACCAGGGAGCCAGTGAACAGGGACTGCCAACAGGGGAGCAGTTTGCAGGCAGCTCGCAGGCCAGTCATGGGCAGGAGTACACGGGAGCTTCGGACAGAGACTTCAGGTAAGTGAATGAGGAGAAGGGCTACTATGGGGGTGGTGACACGTAGCGCAGCCAGGGCCTCTGCCCTGCTGCTGCCTCCAGCCTGGAGCTCTTGTGGGGCCTCCACCCAGACAGGCCCCTTGAATGGGTCAGCAGTGCCCTGGCCCCCTGTCTGCGGGTGTTGCCTGGTGGGACCTCTGAGGCCTGGGGGTAGCATGGGGGCTGGGGGTTCCCTTGCCTGTCCTACATGTGCCCGGATTGAGTCTCTGGAGGGACAGGTGAGGGAACTCCAGGCAGAGGTGAGCAGGCTGTGGGGGATCACAGCAACTGAAGAAGAGATTGATGGCTACTTCCATTCTCTGCAGGACAAGACTCCTGGTGGGGAAACTGCATGGGAATGCCCTGGAGCAGATGCTGGTGAGTGGAGGACAGTCATCTCAGGGGCCAGACCTCCCACCACAGAAACAGCTCCCCCGGTGCAGTTGGGGAACAAATATGAGACCCTGGCTGCACTGGAGAAGTGTGCAGTGGGGGAAAGTGCACTGGAAGGGCCTGCCACTATCACTGCACAAGCTGGGGGCTGGCCAGGTAAGCAGAAGAAGAGACACTGTGTCATCATTGTGAGTGGCTCCTTGCTGAGAGGAACAGAGGGGCACCACGGTGCATGAGGTCTGCTGCCTGCCTGGAGCCAGGATCAGGAATGTCACGGCAAGAATTCCTGACCTCATCCGGCCCTCCGACAACTATCCCATGGTCCTCATCCATGTGGGAACAAATGATGTGGCCAGGAGTAGTCCAGACCATATCATGAGTGTCTACAGGGCTCTAGGGACCAGTCTTAGGAAGACAGGGGCACAGGTGGTCTTCTTCTTGATCCTCCTGGTCAACGGTCACAGTAGGCATCACATCACCTGTGTCATAGTTTCAAAGTTTCATAGTTTCTAGGGTCGGAAGGGACCTGGGCAGATCATCTAGTCCGACCCCCTGCCATGGCAGGAAAGAGTAACACCCAGCAAGATGGTCATCTAACCTCCTCTTAAAAACCCCCAGGGTGGGAGCCTGCACCACCTCACTTGGAAGCTGGTTCCAGACCCTGGCCACCCTGAACGTGAAGTAGCGCCTCCTGATGTCCAACTTAAGCCTTCCCTCCGCCAGCTTGTGACCGTTATTCCTGGTCACTCCTGGC